TATAGTGCAAACCATAGTTTCCAGTAGTATTTTTCTCCCGCTATGTAAGAATAGCACTTACACACTGTACTAAGAAGAATCAAAGCAGGCAGTCTTCCCGTCATTGTGGTGCAGTACCTTTGTCTGTCACTACTGATGTCTTGCTACCCAAATGGAAGATTTAGTCACAAGATCACCAACATATACCAACTAAAAAATCACTGTGATTGGCTGAAATGTAGAAAATGAACTTGCCCCAAAAGTTTCCAGCATGTCACACGCACAAGCGCAATATCCATTTTCTGTTCAACCAAGATTTGTTTGGTTATTTCTAATCAATTGTCTATTCTAACCCCTTATTATTATGACTGAATTCTTACTGAAGTTGAGCTACAACACTTGAAGTCTCTGAGATCTTCTTTCTTTACTTTGGCTAGTTTACTATAGTTTAACCTTGGAACACAGAAAATCTTCTTACAACTGCAAGGCTTTATTTAAACAATGCAAGTCCATTTTATATACAGTATATTTACTTCAAAACATCGGTATAGCAATTAAAAAATGATCCCAATTGAATACAAAGTGATTAAATTGATATAAATTTTCACAACTGACTTTTGGCAAGAAGGGAGCAAATGTATCTTTCAAAATGATCAAGTATTTCCATGAAAATTGGAAGCTACACTATGTACAAAAGCAGAAGATAGAGAGGATGGATGGATGAAGGATATCAAAGAACAGGAAACAACCAGACAGCCACTCACTGTGTAAAAAAATGTTTACAGTCTTTATACTCGTGCAAAGTATTGTTCATGACCAAAGCTAAGAATACTAAGCCTCAATTAATCATAACTCAGCCTTAATTAATATAAATGCATTTATTAAAAATCAAGTTAATTGGGCCAACCACACAAGGAAGTATAATTTCTCGCTGCCACTTGTGGAGTTCGTTGCTCTTTTCATACAGTAATAGCTCTAACGTGAGCTGATCAACCTTTATCAGCTTCTCTTGTCTCGTCTCTGGTTTTGTATGTGGCTGGACAATCAGAGGACAGTGTTCATAGAGAATTAGAGATTTTAGTAAAAAAGACAACCTGAACAGTAATAGTGAAGAGGAAATAATACAGGGAAGGAGCGAATTACATCCCCAGGTGAGAATGTCCTTTCAACTTTGTGAGAATGTAGATGGGAATAGCTAACAGAAGCAGACAGGGAGCTTTGTGTGTTGTAGGTGCACTAAATCCCTTTGTCAGGATAGTATAAAATAAAATGTATGAACAAAATGTGTTTGTCTTTGTCGTCTCTCAGCACTTTGTAAAGAATTCTGCATGTCTGTCTTGGGAACAACAAGCAAAGCCACATGAAACAGCTACAACAATGTTCATAAGGGGTGGTGGGCCATTTCTTTGCCATTTGTTTACAAGTTGTTTACTCAGAACAGACCTGACTCTGGGCTTTAACAGGATATGCACTGACTAAAGTTGCAAGGAGCAGAGAGTTAAACGAGGCATCAGAAAGCTTGTTTCCGTTTAACCAGTAAATGTTTTACATATGCTCTTATAAACTTGCTGAATCGTTCACGACCGATTCTTCATTTATGTCTTGATAAACCCATGGGAAACAATACATAAATGTTTAAAAATGCTGCTATTTGTGAGCATGTACAGATTCTCAAGAGATGCATTTAAGGCCACACACACCTACTCATGTCATTTAGAGTTTCAGATTGATTTGACTGCTTTTGGACAGAGAAAGGAAACCACTGCAAGTACAAGAGCAACATGCAAGCTGCACACAAACTGCACTGTGCTTACTTGTTTTAATATCCAAGGAATAAAATCTGAATACTGCTGGCTGAGTTATATTAGATCACTCAAATCTCTTTCTAGTAGAGGATAAAACCGTGTATCGATTCTTACATATTTTCACTATAATAACCTCATGTCATATCTTCTTTACATTGCATATGCAATTTAGGTGAATGAATTTATCTCAAAATGTGAAATCTTTACCATTTTTAATATCATAATTGAATCTAATATCTGACCTCTTTCTCATTGCTAATGTGCCTACTCTAACCTCATATATATATAAAATCTATTTTCATGTAGTTGTAAAATATTACTCTTGTGTCTGCACACAGGAACAGATCTTGACTACCAGAGCTTTTTGCAACTCATCAGGGAAAGGTAAGATGACGGTTTAAATGTCTTAAACAGTTGGGTAGATCAGTGAATGCATACACCAAACCACAGAGAAGTGTTATGAAAAGTTGTGATTTGGCAAATGTGTGGGTGTCGAACCCGTACTTACCCATGTGACTGTACTGAAGAACAGTAACACCACAGTTATGTAGGTGTTATTATTGTATACTTGCCTTGTTCACAAGGTCAAACAGCAGCTCTCAAGTCTGGGTTACACTAAAAGTGAGGCAGGAAGCAAAGACCCTTTGAATGCATCTTACTGTAGCTTAAAAGCCTGACCACAACAGTGCTGAAGTTTCCATGCATCATTTGTTTGTGTGTGAATAGATTGTGAGTACAAGCAGAGCGAAAGTAGAAAGCAGGAGAAGAGTTGAAGAGGTTTCATTTTGAATTTAATTTTATAATTGCTTTTCTCTATCTTCCCTTCTCTATATTTAATGTGTGTGTGTACATGTCCTTATGTCGTGTGGACAACATTTTGTTCTAACCACTGTTGTGCAGACATTTTGACTGGTCCTCACAACTTCAGAGGGCTGGTTTATGGGTTCAGATTAAAGTTCTATTTAGGTTAGGTGTTAGTCATTTAGTCGTGATGAGTAGGATTAGGCTAAGGCAATAGGAAATGCATTATGTTAAGCATGCACAATTATAGACAGACATGATTGTGTGTGTGTGTGTGTGTCCATGTGTGCACACCTGGTTTGCTGACAGTATGAAACCTTTACACACTCACACCGTGAGGACTCAGGCTTCCCCCTTGGTGACTCACATCGCGCCCTTACCTTGTAATCACTGAATTTTAGTCCTCTTTTAGATGTGTACATTATTTGTTGTGTGTTTGTAGCAACCAACAAAATCACAGAAGAAGACATACATTTGTAAGTGCAAGTTATAAATGTCAAGAGCAATTGATGCTTTATGAGTTACATTATCACTGTGAGGCTATATGTGCTTGTGTCGTGATGTTGGATATTGCGTGAACATTGTGGCTCAACCTGGCTAGGTCCTGCTATGCCTGAACAAAGCTTTGCCAGGAATTTTGCACACAGCAGCTCTATGTCTGAATGCCAGAAAAGCAACCACTACACTATTACATGCAGCCCGCAAATTCCTGGGTACCATATCTGAGAGAAGCTTTGGGATGATGACTTTGTTCAAAGTTAGTGCCAGGAGTTAGGTTATGTTTTAGGGTTAGGCAAGTAGTGGTTATGATTTTTATGAAAAGGTTTCTAGAAAATGAATGTTAGTCAGTGTCCCCACAAGGAAAGAAGACAATTATATGCGTGTCTGTCCCGTGCAGGATGGAAACTGAGACAAGATCCTGGAAGTGTGCATTTCATTGCGCACTTTTTGTTGCCAGAGTCTCTAGTGCAATACAGCATAGCATTTGATGGCCAGGTGTTTGTGCCCCTGGTACGCTGAGAAAGGGTTCATCACTGTTCTAACAGTGGCCCAGGATTTGTGAATTACCTCAGTATTTGAGATTTATATAACTATAAAACTTCCTTAAAATAAAACATTAAATTGTACACGCTGTAGGTCAATGTCTGTTACTGCCGCAGTAGTTTGGTATTCTCCTAATAACTAGTACTGCACATACAGCATGTTGGGCTTGTCTTCCATTCAACAGAAAAGCAATGAAAACAGTCCTGTTAAATGGATGTGACTCTGCGTGCCATACAGTATCTGTAGATATCACCACAGATGACTGACAGACGGAGTGGGCTGCTCACTCCTGATGTGGGGCATCTGGACTGGTCAGTCCTTCTCTGGGTTTCTGTTATAAATACCTAGGGATACAGTTTAAGTCATGCTAGTCAGTTTGTCACTCCGCCAATTTGGTCCAAGATGAAAAACCTGAAAAACTATTAGATGGATTGTAATATTTTGTACAATTAATCACATAGCCACAGTTAATCAAATCTGCCTCCATCCTCAAAGATCCCACCCACCCCCATCACGGACTGTTCACCTCCCTACCCTCTGGCCGAAGTTTCAGAAGTGTGAAATGCAGGACCACTAGACTGAAAAACTCTTTCTTTCCCTCTGCCATCAGACTCCTAAACAGCTGAGGAGTTTATTACCAGGAAATAGGTAATGTACTGTTTACATTCTCAGTTTGCACATGCATAATTGCACATTGACTTTTGACTGCTGCACATGCTGCTCCCATGCAGCATACATTCTCTATTATATTCTTATATATTTTTATTGTATTGCTGCATTTGCTGCTTAAAGTGCCTTAGATTTTGTATTACTTATTTATCTACTTTATATTTCATTTGTATTTTGTGGCATTCATGTGGACGGCAAAGTAAGAATTTCATTGCACAGGGAAACACGTTTCCTAACTGTGCATATGACAATAAACACTTTGACCTTGACCTTGACCTGATATAAGCTCCCATGCACAGATTGTTTTAATTAATAAAATCATCATTTAGTTTGTGGCATCCTGCAACAAAATTTTCTTCAAAAAGAACTTCCACAGGAGAGAGACCCTGTGCACACAATACATCTTTTGTTTACAGGGTCTCTCCTCAAAAACCTTCTGTCTTTATCTTTTACCTTTATACAGCACGTGTCAGTATTAGAAACTCACATGAGATGACAAAAGAGTAGAGCTGGTGTTGTTTCATGTGTTTAAGTTGGAAAGTTTTAACTGACGCATTTCCACAGGGGTGGCAAAGTGAAACACCAACATAACAAGAGGCCAATCAGGTTGCTCTAACATTGTTCCCTCCCATTTGATATAATTATATTAATGCAATCATCCTATAATGCATTCTGAATTAACTGCAGTCTCAAAAACAAAAAATGTCAGTCATATTTTATCTCCTGCTGATGCTGCAAGTTGGGCGTAAGTACCTTATACTGATTATCAAATTGTCTGCAAATGTATTTCAACCATACTGTCATCTTCCTACAGTAACTGATGAGGTATACAAATGTATCTGTTAATCACTGTTGTGTGTTAAATTTGCCTTTCAGGATGCAGAGATGATCAAAAGATTGTGACAAAGACTGTCGGTGTTGGGGAAAACGTGATTCTAAGATGTGTCCGCCAGACATCTGGGGATGTTGGAAGAATTTATTGGGTGAAGCTTGTTGCTGGAAACATGCCTGAAGTCTTGGGGAGAGCATTTAACTTTGATTATGATGGCGTGGCTAATGTTTCTCGTGTTGCAACAAAACAAGAGCCTGGAACATTTGTTCTCCAAATTGCAGAAACAAAGCTGAGTGATACTGCATTTTACTACTGTTTAAAATCAGAGCGTTTTAACATTTCTTTTTTGAAAGGAATATTTCTGAGAATCAAAGGTAAATATAACAAAAAGCATAACAGTGTTATGTCTGTGTTCATATTAGCTGTATTTAACCAGTATTAAGTATTTTATGGAAGCATATTTATTTAGCCATGATACAAGGTTTTGTCTTCACTATCGATTTGAATAAATATAAACATAAACATTCTTGCTGTAATGCTATTTTTGATTTATTGAAAATATATAAATGTGTTTTAAATTCCCCAGGACCAGAACCAGATATCTCTGCAGTTATTCAAGACTTTCCACCTGATTCGGCCCGTCCAGGAGACTCAGTGACTTTACAGTGTTCAGTCTTCTCTGGCTCTGAAAGTAAAACGTGTCCAGGAGAACACAGTGTGTACTGGTTCAAAGTCGGATCAGATGAATCCCATCCCAGTGTCATTTATGCCCAAGGAAACAGTGGTGATCAATGTGAAAAGAGTGCTGAGGCTTATTCTCCACAGAAATGTGCCTACAGCTTCTCCAGGAACGTCAGCTCCTCTGATGCTGGGACTTATTACTGTGCTGTGGCCGCATGTGGACAGATATTATTTGGAAATGGGACAAAACTGGACATTGAAGGTAACTGCACAATATGTCTATATAATAAGGAAATTACCAAAATCTTAATACATTTTTATCAAATATTGAAAATTATCTATAGCTATAGTTTCATAACTTTGGTTTTCCTTTGTGTTTTAGTCGTCAGCACATGTGATTCACAGACAGGACATATAATGCTCTTGGGTGCTGCTTTGACTTTGTTATTGCCGTCCTTGTTTATGTCATCAGGAAAGAATCTTGTGATTGTTGCAATGGTAAGAGAAGTTACTCGTTCATCAATTTATTAAGCTGTTTTTCCCAAAAACCTAATGTCATTAGATTCATGTTTGTGTCCTGTTAGAGAATCATCCATCTTTAAAGTAAAATCCAGTGAATCTTTTAATACTTTTTTCTATAATGTAGCTACAAATGTTGGTCTACAAACAACTGCTGCAACAGCCAGTGGTGATCAGCATAGTCAGCAGGTAAGGTTTTTAAAGATGTAGCTAAAAAAGTTATCAGCTATTTTATGTTTCCATGTGCATGTGTTAAAACATTTTATTTCCTCAGAGAACTGAGGACTCTTTGGTTTATTCTACGGCAGTCTTTACTGGGAGAAAAGCTGGCAAAGCAGGAAGAAGAAATGCAACAGCAAAGGAGGAGACGATCTACACCAGGGTCAGGGCTTCTGTGAACGATTAACGATCCAAACACTGGATGTACTTACTGATGTGATGTGGCACACAGTGTGCAAAATGCACTGATTTAACTGAGAAGACAAATATAAGATGTTTTATGCATCATTTTGACATTTATATATTTTATACAAACAGTTTTCAAACATTAAATATCTTTTGGCTCTATAAGTTCCACAAACTGAAGTGCAGGAAGAGAGTTCTGCGGCGCCTTGGCTTTGCCAGCCCCTCTGATGTGATCGAGATGAAAGGGCGGGTTGCATGTGAAATTAGCAGTGCTGACGAGCTCCTGCTGATGGAGATGGTATTCAACGGCCTCTGCAAAGATCTGACAACAGTGTAAAAATGATCATATTTAATAGT